GGCTCCCCTTCTTGAGCCGCCTTGAAATTGTGGAAAAGGCGCTGGCAGGAGCAGAGCTGGTGGAGGCATCGGGACGTGCCGCGGGGACCCGGAGCCACCGGAACAAAAGCGCGGCGGCAGCTGATTAATTACAGCAAAAAGCGAAAATGAGGACGGGGTGGGGGGGAACTGGAGAAGTTGTTTCCCCATTATATTTCAGAACAGAAAGAACGTTTTAGCGCGTGCACAAATAGCTCCCTGGGAAGCACTCTCACTTCCTAATTGTTCATAAATTTACTGCCAGGTGGTTACACAGTAGGTATAACACTCCGAGTTTTGGTTTTATTGCTTTCCCCGTCTCAACATGAAAACCTGCAGATAAAGGGTGCGCGGCAAGCCGTCGGCAGAGTCCGCCTTGCCAAGGGCACTCGCTGCCCACGTCATGCTCCGATGGAGGGGTCCGCGTTGGCCGGTCAATCCCTTTGCTTCTAACCGCACCGCCTCGCACAGCATCACGGTCCAGCCCCGTGGGAGGGATCCCAGTCTGTGTGGAGATGCGGGAGGCGCTCTGCATCCCGGGCTCTGAAGGCACTGTTTCGGGGTGTAAGACCTAGAGAAGGGACAGGGAAGTTCTCCCCCGAAATGAAGTGCCTGTAGAGCGCGTGAGGCAGAGGCGCAGCATGCCGCTCTCTGGGCTGGGGAATGTGGGAGAAACCATTCTGTGGACCAAAGTGTAGCTGTTGGATGCTCTTAATCTGATACCTGGATAAAATCGACTCTGACGAGCCTCTCAGATCAGGCTGTCATCCAAACGGGTTCGATGTGAGGCGATAACCGTTGCTGCTGAGAAGCAACACTTTGTTAAAACTCTAGACATGGGGTCGTTGCCCGCCTGTGCTGCCCTGCAGGATAGACGGGACGTGGAGGTGCTTTGCATAGGGTTATCATGCAGATGGTGGGACGGTGTCTGTGGAGGTTATCGCCTCCTCGCAGAAGGTTGGAGATGCGATGTCCCCGTCTGTGGGTGGCCTTGTCCCTCAGGGGTCCCATCCCGCGAGTAGAGGTGGGGAAGTGGCCGTTGTCCGGCACTTTGCAGAGCCCAGAGGTACCCAGCTGCCATGTCACCCTGTCAAACGTTTAGGAAGAGGTCTTTTTTGACGGATTAGGATTTGACAAAGCGGAGGAGGGACATCGGGTGTCTGTGTCAGCCGCTGCGCCGGCGCAGTCTCTCCGCTCCGAGGCGTGCGGCAGTCACGATATGGCAGCTAATAATAGTTCATGGCAGCGAGCGCCTCCGGTCGGGATCGGCACTACGTGGCGGCCAGGAGATGAGTCATCCCGCGCGCGGTTGTGTGTGTCAGTGTCACGTGTAGTCAGTAATCACGCTGATGCGCTAACTGGTCCCACGTGGTCCAGCGAGGAAGAGGCATCCCCGCCCGCACAGGTCGGACCCGCTCCTCCCTGGGCCGTCCCTCCTCGGGTAGCGGTTCGCAAGATCTGAGCTTTCTACTCTTTTTGGTCCTTACACAGGGTGGGTGAAGCTGGCACGTGTGCCTGGAGGAAGCTCTGGGACCGGTGGTGTGTGGGAGCATCCCAGGGATGCCCATCCTGAGTGAGGCACGTAGGATCATGGGACACGGCAGCATCACCCAGGCGTGATGCTGCGGCCAGCCCAAAAGGCTATTTCCCAGTTTGGGGGTGAGGGGAGGGATGGCATCTCGTGGTCCCCGCGAGCGGTGGCAGAAACCAGCACGCGCCCGGGCCCGATGGAGAGCGTGAATCAGCGCACGGGGCGGGTCGGGTCTCGAGCGGTAAAGGAAGGAGATAAATCACGGGCTTATTGTTATTGAATTTAGTGGCATCGCTTTCACATTCAATTTCTCTCGCCGGCTTTCCGAACAAACAAGAAATTACAGTGCAAATGTATTTTTTGGCCTACCAAACAGTATGCATTAACTTACCCGTGATTAATATTACGCAGGGTCGATGAAATCCTCCGCGGGCCGCTCGCATTTCCGGCGAGGCCATTTCGCTCCTCACTTCCTCAGGATTTATTCTGGATTCAGTATGTTGGAATCTTTTTGTAAGGAAGGTGGGACTGGGAATGAGGGGGCATAGCGACCAGGCACCCCATATCGCTTTGTCCCCTGCATCCATGTAAGGCGAGCATCTTGTCCCTGTGCTGTGAGCAGTCTGGGGGCCGGGGAGGACCTCCAGAGGGGACAATGGCCACGTCCATCCATGGGGCGACCCCAGCAGCTCCCTGGTACTGGTAAAGAACTACAGGTAATGCAGGGAAAGGGTGCTTTCAACAGGTAAATGACTCGGATCTGCATCCCCAGTCATGCTGGTGGGCTGTGAGGTATTAGCAGGGTTACGGGGGTACCCTGCGGGGACCAGGAGAGCCTTTGGGGACCAAGTGATGGTCCCCAGCTGTCCCCATCTTGAGGCATGGCCTTGGCTGTTTCTGCGTCATGGTATGTACGGGCAATGGCCGCAGGTTGTTTCTATCCACATGGTAATATTTGGCACTGGAGTCCTCCTGCCTGACATCGTGCTCCCCGTGCAGGCTGAGCTCCCATCTTTCCCCTCCCATGGGATTAAGGACACCAAGGGGAAGCCAGCACGCCCTTGAGACGCCGTCCTCCTCAGCTGGCCGGTGGGATCTATAGAAATGTAATCAAGGCTTGGAGATGTCCTTCTGCAAGTCCCACTAACCTCGTAGGCAACGATCGCTGTCGCGGCCGGGTACCAAGTGCTCCGCACGGGCGTCCCTCTGCCAAACCTCCCTACTGGTTCTCGGGAGCGTTTCTGATCAGATCACAGCGGGCGGCGTGGATCGTGGCCGGAGGGTTTGGGAGGTGCTGTTTCCCCTCACGAGATGTGATGGCATGTCTGCCAGCTGCATCAGCATCCTTTGCTAAGGGCTGCAGGGCCGATGTGTGTATTTGTGTGGCTCAGTGCTTGCAGGATGGGAGCACTGGAGATGGTTATTGGTGGTGATACGGTGTTGTGCAGGAGTGAAAGGCGTGCTGGTGAGTGGGACAGGCTCCCAGTTGTGTCCACAGTACCAGTCTTTGTAGCAGTGGTTTGGGACTCAGGGGAAGGGAAAGGGATGCCGGCCACGAGTGGATGATGGAGGTCCCTCTGACTTTCTCCCTGGATGTGTGACACCTTTTTCAGGTAGGCAGAGCGTGGCCCTGTCCTTGGGGTGCATTGCCAGAGGTGACTCAGATGGCAGTTGTCCTGAGGGACAGCGTTCTCTGTATATCTTGTGTGAGCTTTCTGTAGCCATCCCCAGGGGTTGGAGTTGGCACTAGGTGCTCCATGATGCCCCAGGGGTGCCCATCTTCCTCTGGCAGTGCTCTCGCCTGCCAGCGTTAGTGCGTACCGGGAGTACGGCTGTGGGAAGCAGATAAGGTCTGCAAGATGGGGTTTTTTTTGTATGGTAATCCATGGCTTGCATCATCCCTCGGGTAGTGTGGAGCACAGGGGGTCATCCCGGAGAAGTGCCAGGAGGAGCATGGGCAGGAAGGGTGAGCGTGTGGCAGGGATAGGGAGACGGCCGTGGTTTTGCAGGCGCCCTGCACGGCATGCCATCGGTCTTGTCCATCTCCATGGCTGTGGTGTGTTCCGTGGCATCGATGGGTGACAGGCTGCCGTCTGGAGCAGGGGTAGGGTTCTTAGGGTGTCAGCATCTACTAAAGGTGTAGCTGTCATCTCAAACCAAAACTGCCCATGGGGATGGGTGGCTCGCAGGCTCACTCGAGGGCGGCAGATGCCCAGTAGTGTGAAGGCTTGCCTTGGACGTTGCTGTTGTTGTGTGATATTCCTCATTCCTGACTGAGGTGGAAGGATGCTGTTAGTAAGGGAGAAAGTCATATCTTTGAGGGAGGAAGGGCTCTCGGCAGCTTTCACGCAGCGGAGCTTGTCACGCGGTGAGCTCCGCTCTGAGGAGTAACTCCATTTTGCGGCGGTTGCCGGCACTCACTTTTCATTTTTGGATCGCCGCTTTCCCCTGAAGGACTCAGACAATCTCCCTCTGCTATAACACGCAGTACTTCTATATTAATGTGTCAAGGTGCTGGGAAATTTACTGCCTCGCAGGGCCGATGGGGCCGCGCAGACCGCGCCACGTCTTTGCCACAGCTGGTCCCACCGTGCCGTGCGGGTCAAGCAGCGGTCGGAGAGCTGGCGTGGCAACGCCTGTCCTCTCTGTGCACCTCTCCCGTCACCTCCTGGGGAGGCTGTCCGGGAGCGAAAGGTTTGCTCGGGGTGGGTGGTTTGTTGAACCTTAGTGAGGTGCTGAGATTGGTGGTTAGAGGGAGCTTAGACCAACCTCCTGAGGGGATGCGTCTCTTCCTTGGCATGAGGGTTGGGAGTGTGACGCCTTGTGAGCGGGGCATCATGGCATGGTGTGTGTTTGGGGAGGGGGCGCAGACCATCTTTTCTGTCATTGGTGGGGTGCTGTTTAGTTTTGGGTGGCTTGCTCTCCCCTATCTCATTCCGTCCGTGGGGCATGGGCCCTTTCAGGGGCCACATCCGCCTGCCCCGTGGCTCAGAGCGCCAGGCAGCGGCGTCGGTGAGCGGGCTTTAATTGGATTTTGCCAGGGCCGGGAATATTTATGGGAGCGGAGATTGCCAAGTTATTTATTAGATGGAGTATCTGGGGATAGAGTAATATAAATCACGGTGGCCGGTATTGAATGGAGCAGACGCTCAGTAATTTAAACAGCTTTAATAAATATGCTAAAATACGAGCCTTGTCGCGGGCCGTAAGGAGAGCAGGTTATCGGGGTCTCGGCTGGGCAGGGGGAGCGGCATGTCTGGCTCCCGCCTGGCACAGAGCTGGGCTGTGGTCCAAGACACCGTCAGGGAGGGACGGGGTCGGTGAGAGAACAGGGTGATGGGGTGGAAGCCAACGACCATCACCAGGTGTTCCTGGTGGCGCACAGGCGGTGTTCCGATGGGGCTGGGTGAGCACGTGTGTTGATGGTGGCTTTGCTCTTTGTGTTTTGCAGTCCCCCCCCAGATTGTGAACATCTCGTCGGACATTACGGTGAACGAGGGAAGCAGCGTGACCCTCATGTGCCTGGCCTTCGGGAGGCCGGAGCCCACCGTCACGTGGCGGCACCTCTCCGGGAAAGGTGAGACTGCGCTTGGGGCTTAGCGGACGAGACACCTGTCCCATGGGGGACGGAAGGATGTCCCTGTAGAGGTGGCCGGGGTGGCATGAAGGTGGTCCCTGGTTTGGTGGCATCTGTTGCGGAGGGTGGTATGATGCTGAGGATGCCCATTTCGTGGTGTTCCAAGTTTCCTGTGGGAAGGGTCATAGTGCCACGCGTTTGGGCTGTCTCCCAGGACAGGGCTTCGTGAGCGAGGATGAGTACCTGGAGATCACGGGCATCACGCGGGAGCAGTCTGGAGAGTACGAGTGCAGCGCCGTCAATGATGTGGCCGTGCCGGACGTGCGGAAAGTCAAAGTCACCGTGAACTGTGAGTGCCGGGGACGGGGGAATCGGGGCAGGGCACATGCACGGGGCTTCGTGTGACGCACCACGGCATCTCCACAGACCCGCCGTACATCTCGAACGCCAAGAACACGGGTGCCTCAGTGGGCCAGAAGGGCATCCTGCAGTGCGAGGCCTCGGCCGTCCCCGTGGCAGAGTTTCAGTGGTTCAAGGAGGACACCAGGTGAGGGGCGGCGGAGGGGGGAAGCCGGGGTGGGGGACGGTAAGCACGCTACCCTTGCAAGGAAGGCCGGGATCAACACAGTTTGGTGGTGTGGAGCACTCGGCAGAGGGTTGAAGAGGTTCCCAGGGGTCCCCCAGGGTGTCTCCCGGGGAAGGTGGCCGCAGCTTGGGGGGTTACTGTGGCCTGCGTGGGTCAGGCAGGGAGATGGGTGAGGGGACGGAGAGCAGTGTGCGTTTGGGATGTGCAGTGGGGTGATGGGCTGGTTGTGGTGGGATGCGGGGAGGATGGGGGCGGATCTGATGGGCGTGTAGTGGCATTGGCTGGCGGGATGGAAGGGGGCCGAGACCCATCACAGATGGTCATTTGCCTTTCTCCGCAGGTTAGCGAACGGGCTGGAGGGTGTGCGGATCGAGAGCAAGGGCCGCCTGTCGACGCTGACCTTCTTCAACGTCTCGGAGAAGGACTACGGCAACTACACGTGCGTGGCCACGAACAAGCTGGGCAACACCAACGCCAGCATCATCTTGTACGGTAGGTGCCCTGTTTTATTGCAGCAAGGCCCAGCGAGGTGGAGGAGGAGGAAGAAGAAGAAGAGGAGGAGGATGAGGAGGAGGTGGTGAGCCGGAGGGCCAGCCAACGATGCATCGGAGTAGAGCATCTGAGTAGATCTTGGCGGAATTAAATGTGGCTGGTTCATCAAAGTGCACGTGCACAAGATTGGAGCGGCGAGGTCCCATGGAGAGGATGTGTCCGAGGATGAGATCGACATCGCCCCAAGCGGGCACGCACAGCCGGGTGGTGGTGGGCAGCAGGCACGGCGTTCGCGGGCTCACGGGTGTTTAGGGGAGCGCGGCAGAGCCGGCAAGTGTGCGGCCATTTGGCTTTGCGGAGCCGAGGCCGTGGGCAGAGAAGAGGCTCCCGGCGAGCTGCAGGCGTCGCTGGAGCCAGGGCTGAGGAGGGGGCCCGCGCCAGGTGAGCACGCGCTTCGGTTGCACGGTGCAGGGTTTTCCTGGGTGTTGTGCTGGCAGGACTACCGGCAGTTGCAGGGCGGGTGAGGGCTGCGGAAGGGCGGTTTGTGTCAGGTGCCCGCGGTGCTTTGACAGTGAGAGCAGGAAGGTGTTGGAGGGACGGTGGAGCGGACTGGTGTCATTGCAGAAGGTGATGTGTAGCTGTTGACGTGGCGTTGTGGCTATGCAGAGGGCCATCATGGGCTAAGGCTGGGTGGGAGGACCAGGCCCTCCCCAGGTAGAGCTGTGGCGGAGAGGGTGGCGAGGAGAGGAGTGTGAGTAGACAGTCAGTGTCGGCATGGACTTTGTCAGCACAAGGGTGGGCAGCGGGGGCAACACATTGTGCCATGGCGGGGTGCAGTGTCTTGGTAGGGACTACATTCGTCCCCTGGATGTCTAGGACTGTGGCGCGTGGCGGTTCTAGGGATGCGGCAGAGGACCGGGGCATCTCTCAAGGGTTCTGTGTGGATGAGGCATCTGCCTCGGTGTTGCCGGAGGTGCTGTCTCATGGGCTGTGTCACACTTTGGGAAGCTCTCAGTGATGTGGGGTGGCGTGAGGTGCACATCCCTGGGCATAGTTGCGGGGCATTGGCCAGCCTGGCACTCAAGGTGCCTCGCTTTGTCACGGGTGGGTTTGAGGAGCTCGGCAAGGGGGAGATGGCTTTTAGGGAGGGTGGGCTTTGTGGGTCATTGTAGCTGTGGATGGGGGTGCTAGCTACGCGGCAATGGGGTGCGGAGCAGTAGAGGGGACATGCGGTTGCTCGTCCCTGGGTGGGGGGGTCTTCCCTGGCGCCGGCAATATCCACGGTTGCCCAGTGTTGTTTCCTGGGGAGAAAGAGGAGGGGAGACCTGTGTTTGGCACGGAGGCCTTGAGGTAGCTGGAGAAGAGGGATGGGATGGGAAGGGATGTGGTCAGACGGTGTGAGAGTCGTGAGGGAGGTGGGGTGATAGTGCTGTGCCGACATAGGGGGGCAGAGGGGCTGGCCAGGGTGTCTCAGTGTCTGTCTAGGTGTGGTGGGGAAGTTACACTTTTGTCCAGGACTGGTGGGGCTGGTGAGGGCAGTTGTCCGCCTAGGCGATGGCAATGGTGAAACGGAGGGTCGGATGGTTTTGGGGTGCAGTAAGGATCAAGGCAAGTGGAGCAGCGTCCTGGGATGTCCAGAGCACATAGCAGGAGGTAGGGAGCAGCGGCCTCTGGGAAGGTGCTTTTGAGGGCCCATGGGGTCCTTCAGTACCAGGTGGATATTGAGAACTGGCTTTTGGTGGTCAACTGGTCATCCCGTCAGGGGAGAAGTCAGGCTGGCGGGGCAGAAAATGAAACGGTGGCATGTGTAGTGGAAAGGTCAGGTTTTGGGTGAACGTGGCGCAGCCATAGTTTGCACAGGCAGAGGGAAACGGGGCCGGGGCAAGGTAGAGAAAAGCAGCAACGGGCCAGGGTCCAGTTAGACAGCGAGTAAGGCTTGGTGATGTACGGGCACAGCACTTGGGAGGGGAAAGACAGGGGGAGTGGGTGTTGAGGATGTCCACCAGACAAACAGGGACACAGGAGGCTGGGTTGGTTTTCTCTGTCTTTATTAATGCAACTTGTAATGAGACTTTGGGGGCAGCCGTTGGAGGGCCATCCAGTAGTAGATGTAGTGTCGCGATTGTCTCATCGGTCTTGGCGATGCCGCAGCTGGAATACCGGGTTGAGGTTCGGGCCCCTCACCGCAAGGGGTGCCAGCATGTACCTGTAGCGTGACATTGGAGGCGGTGAAGGGTCGGGAGTGCAGGCATCTTGTGGAGGGGCTGAGGGAACCGGGGTCGTTTAGGCCAGTGAAGGAGAGGTTCAGGGGAGACTATGTGGGTCTGGGGAGCTGCTGGAAAGGGGGTCGTAGTGCGGAGCAGGGGGTCTGTATTCTTTTGTGAAGGAGGGAGTGTTAGGATGAGAGGAAATGGATTCTTGCAGCACAGGGCCACAGGGGGTCGAGATGGGAGAGTAGGAGAAAAGTTGTCTTTGACAGGGCCTTTCAGCAGGGTAAGGGGGGATGGCTGAGTCCCCATGCCTGGAGGTATATACAGGATGAATAGAAGTGGCAGCCGGGGGGATGCAGCGTAGCGGTGGGCCTGGCAGCGCTAGAGGGATGGTGGGACGGGATGGTCTGCCAGGTCTTTTGGACTGGAAATGATGTACTGCTGCTGTATTGGTATGGTTGAGGACTGTGAGATGGTATGGGACTGGTCTCAGGGGCAGAACGCCCCCAGGGCCCCGGATTGGGCTGGAAGTCATCCTGGGGCACCAAAGGAGAGGGTGGATGCGACGCTAAGTCCCCTCTTGGTCACCCACAGAAGGTCTCAGGGGTGATGCCAGGTGACTGGCAATGTGGGAGAAAGGCAGGAGGGGACACGTGGGGCTAGTAGAGATGGGGTACTGGCCACTGTCAGTGTCAGGAGGGACGATGGTGCAGATTCTGTAGGGTGTAGAGGAGAGGCCTTTGAAGGACCATGGGATTATGTGATGCGGTGAGCAGGGGTCAGGGAAGGCAACATCACATCTGTGACAGCGGCAGCGCTTGTACGGCAAAGGTACCCGCCCAGGGGACGAATGAGGTGGTGGTTGTGTTTGGTGTAGGTCCCTTCCTTGGAACTACTGTTCTGTGGTGTGCCGCGCTGCACCGTGGTCTCGGCGTCTCCCCGTGTGACACTAGGGGAGCCTATAGTGTCCTTTATAGGGATGTGCTTTGGCTTTGTTGTGGTCTAATGTGTGGGGCTGTGCATGCTGTGGCTCTAGTAGTTTGTGGTCAGTGCAGGTGCAGTGTGGTTGGGTTTCTGTTGGCGTGCTTGGCTCTGCCACGTTCCGCTCCAGCGCGGTTTCTTGCAGTCGGTCCTGTTATGTTGGGGTGGAGTAGTTATTAGCGGATGTTGGTCAGGGGCGGTCTGTGCCGAAGTATTCCATTTGCCTCTGCGCCGCTATCGTCCAGGTTGCTCGTCTCAGGTGTGGTGTAGTGTGTCCCAGCCATCGGTGGGGGTCCATCCCACTATGTGAGGGTGTAGAGGACTCAGGTCTGTGTTCTATAGGAGGTGTTGTGTTCAGTTGTGCCATGTTCCGGACGTGTGTTGTGCATGGCTGTGCTCTGTCATGCTCGGGGCTGGTGGTGTTGTGTTCTGCGGCTGTGGAATGCGGTGTGTGTCATGGCGCTGATCTAGGGCGGTGTTTCCCGTCGTGATGTGTAACGTGGAATCCTAGCAGTGTCGCTTGGCAGGGACCCCCTGGTGTCACCCATCTCGGGTAGCGGCATGGTCTTGCTGGGATGGCGATAGGCTGGTATGCTGGAACGCTCCCTCCCTGGAGGCGTTCAAGGCCAGGTCAGAGGGTGCTTAGGTGTCCCTGCCCACACCAGGGTGGGAGAGTAGCTCTGAGGTGCCTTTGCGCAACGGTATGCATCCAGGGCCCAGCACCCTGTGTGTCGCAGTGAGAAAATTGTTCAATGGGGGGTGTCCCTCATGTCCCGGGGGAGAGGCTGGTGAAGGTGCAGGGTTGTTACTGCTGAAAAGGTCCTCTGGTGTCCATCGGGAACCTGCCCTGGAGAGGGGTGTTTATTAGTGGGAATACGCTGAGAGCGTAGGTATCTCTGGGGGTTGGGCAGTGGTCTGGCAATGTCCTCTGGGAGGTGGTGCGGAGTGTGTTCTAGTGCATGTTAGATGCTGCTCTTGTGGCGTAGTGGTCTGTCGGGTGGTGTGAGCGTCTATGGTGGTGCGTTGTAACTCAGGGCGGACGGTGTATGGTATTGGTTTGTATTGTCCCCTGCGCACCCGAGTCCTTTCCGCCCTGCTGTGGTCTCATAGGTAGTCTTGTCTAAGGTTGTGTTGGTGTGGGGTCCCAGTGGACTTTTGCGGCGGGGTGTCCCGTGGTGTGGCCTCATCTGTGGTGTGTGAATGTGACGGGAGAAACGTGAGAGTGGGTGGTGGGTTGCACCCTGCACTCTCTATGGAGAGTGGCACGGTGGTTGTAGTCTATTGTGTTAGTGTCTGGTGGGCACTAAGGCCTCGTGCCTCCAGAAGGGGTAGGGTATTGTCCAGGGTACGGTGCTGGAGGAAGCACAGGAAGGGCCAGGGGAAAAGGTTTTGAGTGGTCGTGGTCGTGGTGTTACGAGAGAGAGAGGAGTGTTAGTCTGAGGGGGGTCGTCCTGCAGAGGCAGGCGGATCTGTTATTAGTTTTGGGTGTTGCTCTGTGCAGGGTCCTGTCCGGTGTCTGTCTTTGGGGCAGGGTCCGGTGTTCACCACGTCTTCCTTGTGGCATGTCACGTGTCCTCTGGTGGTGGGCACCCCACTTGCTGATGTGCTGTCTCCACGTTTCCTTGGGAATACGGTTCCTGGGCTGTGTCTTGCAGTTGTATGTATGCGTGGAGGGTGTCCGGGCATGGTCTGGACTGCGTCATCTTTCTCGGGTGGTCTGTGAGTGCTCCTTCCCTCGGGGAATGCACGCTGGGCGGAGAGGGGCTCCTTGGCAGACCTTGTCCTCCAGCAGCCGCCATCGGGACGGTGCCTCGTTGCTCTCCCCCGATGAGCCCCCTCTCCCAATAAAGCAATTACCTCCATGACTCTCGTGGTGTGCTCTCTCCGCTTGCAAAGTTCACATAAGCTGGTTCCTCCGAGACTGTACCTGAAAACAAGAGAGGGCGGCAAACACATACCTGGTGAGACACACTTCAATACAGCCAAAGTGTGGCACCCAACAGGGGGGAGGTGACATATGTAGGTAGTAGGTAAGTTAGACAGATAATTCAGGGAGGCAAAGTAGAGCACTTACTTACTTACTAACTCAGGCAGATGCAACACCCATAGAGACCTGCACAAAGACAAAACTGTACACCACCACCACCTCCAGCCTGACAAAGATGGGAAGGGGCCCGACGCGCTCACAGCCGCCAGATCCGGACATCTCCAAGCAAAAAGAAGGGAGACGCCGAGATCAAGATACACGCATGGGCAGACAAAGGGGGGACAAAGCAGCCGCAGAGAGAAACACAGACAGTACAGAGCCCGAGACAAAGAGCCACCATGGACAC